CACTTCATCTAGCTCTTGACTGGTGGTCTATAAAGACACCACTGGTTTCACGTGTTAGCCTTATGGCCTGTGTCCTGACTAATCCCCCCCCCCCCCCCCCGCTCTTACTATTGACTACTTGACAGTTCTGCTTTTCCAGATGAATCACCAGGCTCTCAGCCTGGCTGAGCCTCATGAGTTTGGCTTTCTACGTGTTTCCTGGAGGGTCCTGAGCCAGAGGCTTCCAGGTCACGCTGCTCTCCATGCCGGGCTCCAGATGAGCTTCAAGGCAAATGCATCCCCCCCTCACTCCAGCTCACTCTGACTCCATCAGAGGGTCTCCAGAGCCAATGCTCGGCATGTTGGACTGTGAATGACACAGTCAAAGCGGCCACACCCCAGAACAACAGCCGAAACAACCCGCAGGCAAGTTGTTTGCCATACAGGCCTAAGGACTGGAATTTGAGCCTTGGCATTCACATATTAAATCGGGCTTGGTGGTCTGTGTGTATAATCGCAGCACTTGGGGCAGAGACTAAGGTATCCCAGGCTTGCTAGCTAGCCAGTCTAGCTGAATCTGCAACTGCCAGGGTCCAAGGAGAGACCTCATCTCAAAAATCAAGGCTAAGGAATGAGACTCAAGGCTGACCTAGGGCCTACACACACACACACACACCAGACACCTGTATACACAGTGACCTTTATTCCCCTGTCCATTGTGGGAATCTGGTGCAGCCTGGGGCCTTGTCCTACGGAGGTGTGTCAAAGCCTTATTAAGAATGCCTGCATGGCAGGGTGGTGGTGGTGCCCTTAATGCCAGCACTCAGGAGATAAAGGCAGGCAGATCTTTGTGAGTTTGAGACCAGCCTGGTCTACAGAGTGAGTTCCAAGAACAGCCAGGACTACACAGAGAAATCCTGTCCTGAAAAAAATAAAACAAACAAGCAAAACAACAACAAAAATCACGCCATGGTCCACAGGAAGCCCAGGTTTTACACACACACACACACACACACACACACACACACACACACACACTGGGCTGAGCTGGGCTGAGCTGGGCTGGGCTGGGCTGGGCTGGGCATTTCAGGTTGAGAAGGATGCTAGGGAAACCTGGAGGCCAGGCCCATTTTGGTTAAATAGGCACCTCAGCTACTTGTCCCGGATCTGAATCCCAACACAATTGATTTTAAAGATTTGGTGTATGTGTGTGGGAGGGGGCACATGCACGCAAGCATGTGTAGATGTACACGTTTGTGCGAAGAAGCCAGGAGAGGGAGTCAGATCCTTCAGCTGAAGCTACGGGCTTCTGTGGGCTGTCCAGGCTCCATACGTTCTGGGCTCTAAATTCTGGTCCTCATAGTTAACCGCTGAGCCGCCTCTCCATTCCCCTATGTAGTTGTGTGCGTTACTTTTTCATTGCTGTGGTAAGCCCACGACCAAGGCAACTTATAAAAGAGTTGGTTTGGGGCCTTACAGCTTCAGAAGGTGAGAATCTCTGGCCATCGTGGCTCAGAGCATGGCGGCAGGCAGGTGAGTGGGGAGCTGGAGCAGTCTCTGAGAGCTTGTGGTCCACCGGCACAAGGCAGAGAAAGCTAATTGGGAATGGTGTGGGCTTTTGAAACCTCAAAGCCCACCCTCGGTGACACACCTTCTCCGATAAAGCCACACCTCCTAATCCTTCTCAGACAGTTCCAACTGGGCACCAAACACTCAAACATATGAGCATATGGGGACCAATCTTATCCAAACCACTACATTGGTTAAATGGTAAAAAGAGAGAAGGGAGGAAACACAAAGGGAAGGGACAGGGAATAATGATTGAGCTAGCAGGCTTGAAACAGAAAAGTGGCCCCTATGGGGGGGTTGGCCTTCAAGGGATCAGTCTTGAAAGACAGACCTGAGAAAGAGACATAGGGGGAACTGTGTTAGACCCCCACACTAAGGCAGTATTTCCTGAGGCAAATGGGCTCAGGAAAGGTTCACAAGGCCTGCAGATGTGGCTGGACCCAAGGACCAGGGGACACAGAAGGTGTCTTGATGTCTTCACTGTGCCTCCACCCACAGGCAAGGTGCAGCCACCTGCCCCCCCCCCCCCCCCCCCCCGAGCATTCAAGGAGGGAACAAAGATTCCAGCCAGTCCTCCAGCTCCTCCCCCAGGCACCATGTGGGTGCACTGAGCTGTGGCAGGGCAGGGCACAGGGCTGGCTGTGTGGGATTGAGGCAGGACTGTAGTGTGCAGAGCACAGCGTCATGACCCAGCTGCTTCTGGCCCTCTGGGCATCTCTGATGTTTGTGGAGCTGACCTGGGACTTGATGATCATGGCGGCGCCAGGTAAGAGCTGGACAGGGACGGAGGGGGATGGGATCAGAGTGGGGATCTAGCCTGTGCTCCCCGCCCACGGCCGCACATTCTTGTCCACAGCCCAAAACCTGAGCTGCTTCCAGTGTTTCAAGGTCTCCCACTTCAACCAGTGTAAGCCCAAGAAGTGCCAGGCCAACGAAAACGTCTGTCTGAGCAACGAGGTGCTCCTTTACTCTAGTGAGTCTGTCCTTGAGCCTGGGCAGCTCCAGGATCAGTGGCAAGGCTGGGTCCCGGCGTGTATCCTCTAGGTTCTGGATATATGGGAAGGTGTGGTCTGAATTTCAGGTGCTCCTTTTTCTCTCCCAATTGCTGTATTTGTTCATGTGTCACTCCTAGAGCTCTCGCCAGGGCAAAGGCTCTGATGTGACATGGAATTTCCAAATGAACAAGTGAGCGAAAGCCGAGACAGCCAGGCAGGGACGGCTTTGCCAAAGCCACCCACTCACGTGGGAGGGACTTCATGGGATTGCAGAGGCAGTGGGACCATCGGCCTTACGGAGGATAATGGAACAAAAGCCAACGCTTTGCTTTCCCCGTCTGCGTGGAAAAGCGAAAATATGAAAATGTCCAGAAACCAGAGGTGCACAGTCATGGCGGGTAGCTGGGACCCCGCAGATGCCTCTGAGTTGCCTCCTCTCTGAGGTAAAAGTCCTGAGCCTGGCTGCAGAGTCATCCATAAACTCTAGGCTTCTCCTGTTCCCTGGCTTCCTGAGAAGAATGGCTTGAGCTTGGCTTAGGACAAGCCCTGAAGGAAGGGTATGTTGCAAGCCTCAGGCAGGGTGGCCTGGCAGACTGTCCTCTGCAGCAGTATCCACAGCTCCCCGGGGCTGCCTCCCGCTAATGTGTTTCCTCCTTTGTACTTTGTCAGGCTGAAGCCACCTTTTCCCAAGAAGCATTTTTTCCCTAGGAGGGCAGCAATTTCCCCAGGTTGTAGCCCCTCTTCTAATCAGTGGCAACCCTGCCCTTAGGGTCCCTTTTTCTTGTTACAGTGAAGGGGGGTTTGTGTACTAAAGATCTCAAAGCGGATGAACTACTTTCTCCAACTTTTTCTTTCAGTCTTGAATCCTTCATCTTGGTGCCCCCCTTACGCTCTGCCCCCCGCCCGCTGTCCCCCACACCCCCAGCTTTTTTGTTCATTTGCTCTTGAGCTGGCAGATCTGTGCAGGGAGTGGGCTCTCAGGATTCCCTTTGGGGGCTACCTGTTCTGGGGGAGATCTGACACAATCACTGGGGGAGGACTGTTCAGGGTTTCCAAGGAGGCTACAGTCTCCGTAATCTCTGTCAGAATGTCCTTGGTCACCCCACATTCTGTGCCACCAAGCAATGTACTCTTTGGCACCCAGTCCTTTTCTACTTTGGGTCAGCGAGGGCTGCTGGAGAGAGAGCCCACCTCTTTGCTGTATCCCAGGTTGGTGGTGAGTCTGGGTAGCAGAGCTCCCATCACTCTGTGGGTCTTGGCTGTGAAAGGACAGCAGGGCCATGTCCAGCCATCCACACTGGAAGCTTCCCCCCACACCTCCCCTCTAGCCTCAGGGTTCTAGGACCACATGCTGTTCTCTTTTCCTGTGCAGCCACAAGGAGCAGAGTTCAGATCAGCAAGCGCTGTGCCGTCAGATGTTCCAACTCCAACAGTCTCTACGAGTGGCCAGTGAACAATATATTTCATGCCAAGATCACCAGGCAATGCTGTTCAGCAACTCTCTGCAACAGAGCACCTGACAACCGGGACCTACCAGAGAAGCTCCTGTTGCCAATGGCTCTGAGCCTCCTCTGCACCCTGCTGTCCACCCCTGTCCTGTGACACCCCCCCACACACACACACCCTTCTAGCACCTCCTGTCTTCTACTTCAAATGGCTATCCCACCTTCATCCATTCCAGGACTTGCAAGGTGATGCTCAGTCGCTGAGGTAGAAAAGAGGACACCATACCCTTTGCTCAGTCAGGACCCAGCAGCCTGCTCCTACCTGACATCTTGGCTCAGGAAGTTGGGAATAAAACCCTACTGCTCCTCATGGAGACAGACAAAGGAGTATTTCCAATGCAGGCCACAGGCTTCTTCAAGAGAGCTCTTGGCCCTTGGTACACTGACAAGATCTGTGAGTGGCAGAAGGACCTGGTGAAGCCAGAGGTGCGGCCACACTCTGACACTGCTCCGCCTTCCCCATAGCAGCTGACTGCACAGATGGGGTCCAGGCTGAGAAACAGTATGGAGTCCCCTGTTCGTGCACCGGGCTACTGCATCTCACTGTTTAGAGGCAGTGAACCCTTGCTGCGCCACAGCCTGGCTCCTGCTCCTTCACTGTCTCATTGTCTGGGAGAGCCACCCCTCTTGCAGCTCCCAGTATAGACCTGCATAGAAGCATCCAGTCAGGCGACACCTAGACCTGTCCCCAAAGCCTGGAGCCCAGCATAGGGTAAGCATATAAGCCAAGCTCAGATCTGGAGTCCTAGGAGGGCTCACTGGCCACGGTCTGAGGAGGGGGTGGGAGCAGAGACAGGAGTGCCACAAGGACAGGAGAGGATGTCAGGGTGGTCTAAAACCACGTTTGGTTGAAGCGTCACTGCAGGAAGTGAGGCCTGGTGACTACGACTGGGTACTTGGGTCCCTGGGTAAGGGCACAGGTAAGTCGCACAGAGAGGGACTAGGAGACTGATTGGCAGCTTACAGCCAGCCAGGCTGAGTGGGTTCTACTAGGCATGAAGGGATTGTCCCCCCCCCCCCACACACACACAAAAAAAAAAACCCCACAAAAAACCAAAAACAAACAAACAAACACAAAACCAAGAATTTTGCTATGAGTGAGCAAACTCTTGGTATGGGGCCTATGACCACAGTGCAACAACGCAAGGAGGATTTATTTGGCTCACAGTTTCAGTCCACCATGGTGGGGCAGGCATGGCGGAGCCCAGCCTCCTGCACTGGAAGTGTACGGTGAGGCCGTTGACAGACTAGGAAGCTGAGAGTGAAGCTGGAACCAGGGCCCAGGTGGGACCTTCAGAGGGTCCAACCACCGCCACCTCCTACTTCCACCAGACTCACAGGAAGGTTCCACAGCCTCCCCCCAAACAGTGCCACCAGCTGGGGAATAAGGTTTGAAATCTGACCCTGAAGAGGACGTTTCGGATCGAGGCCCTAACAACAAGTGAGCCTGGGGGTGGGGGTGGGGCGTGCATGGTACCCTGTTTCCAGATCCTTACACCTGCCCGTGCTGGTCCACACACACACACTCCTGCTTCCCTGAGCCTGCTCTTGACGCTCCTGCACCACTCTCTCAGCCCAGGTGGCACTATATAACCCCGGGAGGGCGGGCCACACTGTAACATCCTCCCAGGATCCTGCAGTTTCTTCCTATCCTACACCCTGGCCCAGTGACTGATACGGCCCACAGCCCTTCAATGGCTCTGGATAACCCTGGGTCTGGTGTCTATCTTCCCAGGGTCCCTGACTAAAGCCAATCCTTCCCTGCAAGTTATGGCTTTTCACACTGAGTTTTGGCCCCACTCACTCCCCACACTGACCCAACTGCTTAGTGGCCCAGGGCAGGAGTCCTGAGGTGTTAGGGCTTTGGGAGTCTCTGGGTCTCCAGGCCTGGGGTATCCTGCTAGGCCTCTTCTAAGGGAGCAGGTACTAAGAGGACCATCTTGCTGTGGTAGAGTGGACTAGGTAGCTCCTAGGAGCCAAATTCTCCTGTGTGTGTAAGTGCCAACTGGGTCCTGTGCTGGTGATGCATGTATCTGAGAGAGACAAGGCCTTTCTTGGCCCAGATGTGCTTGATCCAGGTCCTAAGGGTGGCAAACAATCAACAGTCACCAAAAGTCAAACTGAGACAGATGCTTTTCCATTCTTTGTCTTCCATCGATGATGGTTGAGGAGGCAGAGACACAGGTGAGAGACGAGAACCTTACCAAGAAAAGAGCAGGCAAGAGTAGAACTCCCATCATGGGGGACGAGGCAAGGAAGACACTGTGAAGCTCCTTGTTTGGGAGCTTTGGTGGGGGGGGCGTTTTGTTTTTTGTTGTTGTTGTTGTTGTTTTTTATAAGGATTAGAGTTAGAACTAGGCAAAGATTAAGGTAATTTTATTGAGATGCATTAATCCTCCAGACATAGCAAAGGCCAACCCAATGGCAGGGTTCACAGGCTCTTTGCATGCCTCCCCTATTAGGATCAAGTAATGAATGATGAGGTGCACAGCAGATTTTATATGAAAGAGGTTTATTAGATGGAGATGAAGAGAGGAGAGAGAGCAGAATATGATGGGGGGGAGAGAGAGAGTGGGCGCCCGAGGGAAAGGGGAGAGGGCAAGGGAGCCAAGAGGGCAAGAGGCAAGAGAGGCCAAGAGGAGGACAATGTGGTGGGTTGGTCCTTTTAAGGAGCATTGTAACCATGCCGGCCAGGTGTGATGACATAATAGGTTGCTAGGCAACCCAGAAGCAGGTTCCTAAATACTAAGATTCCCCCACCCAGCCAGGAGATAATCACCACACAGCGAATCCTCCTGTGTCCATTTATTACTTGCTTCCTTAGCTGCTCACTTTGACTCATGTGCTAAGCCACACAGATCTTGACAGTCACTGCCAGCAGGTAATGCTGGATCCTGACTTTGGCTTTTGTTTGCTGGTCATAAATAAAACTATTTTCTCTGTGTTCCCATGTTTACAAGATCAGATTGCAGTTTTACCGTAGGCTTTTTTTCCTTTACTGCCTATAGACAGCTAACTCCTGTATCCTCAGGTGAGTGTGGACCTGAGCTAGGGGAGCTCTTCCACCCAACCTCTGTATCACGTAGTTACTCTATACCCTTTGGAGTTGGGACCCAAGTTGTTCTTTTGAAGAGAGGACTCTGGGCTTCAGTCTTTTGGGGGTAACCTTTCAGCTGCAAATCAGAAACTACAGAATAAGTGAATTTTTAAGTTAGTGAACTGTGTGGGTAGATGGCTCAGTTTCTAAAGTACTTGCTCTGATTCCCAGACCCATTAAACAATGCTGGACATGGTGGCATGTGTGTGGAATCCTGGCACAGAGACAGGTGGATTCCTGGGGCTCGATAGCCAACCAGTCTCGCCCAGTTAGGGAGCTCCAGGCAAATGAGAAACCATGTCAAAGGAAGTGGACGGTGTTCTTAAGGATGACATCTGAGGTTTTCTGGCTTCCGCATGTACACACTCTCATGCACACACACACACACACACACACAAACACACAAGTAGAAATTGGTGAAAAAAAATTTAAGATGAGCAATACGTGAAATAATCCTGAGATTAAGGCAGGAACTCTTGGTGGTAAACACGTGCTGAGAATCGGGCCAGCCACTTGCTCGGAAGAGACCACAGAAGGAACCGTCAAAGGCCTCTGAAGGGCATGGAGCCTGCCCTGTAGTGAGAGGCCACTGTCTCTCTCACAACTGCTTTCCCTAGAGCTTCTGACCTATCTAAATATCATCATTGTCCTAGTCTCTCCTGGATCCTAGGCACTCCCTCATTGCCTGGACCAGAGCCATGTGGCTTTTAGAGGCAGCAGTCCGGCCAGGCTATGAGCATCCAACATGCTGGGCGGGACCATGTAGGCATTCAGGCTAGCTCCTTTCCTCTCTGGACATGCAGAGGTCTGGAGCGCAGGTGGCTGGGCCTCCTAGGTGATGGATCCGAAAAGTAGGGAAAACCTACCCAGCCAAAATGCACCACAAGCCAAGGCAGATGGGATTTGCCCCTGCTTTCTTCTAGCTTCACAGCTGTAAGTCTATACGGTTCTTTGCCTTCGGTGAAGGGTGGCCGCCAACCGATTTTCTCTGTTTTGTTCCAGTTGCCTGTGTCTCTACCCTTGCCATCTATACACGAGCCTCCAAGTTTGTTCCATTTCAGCCTTGTCTTAACGCACCAGAGTCCTATGGCCACTCCAGTCTTGATGCAAATGGCAGAGGGGACATAAAGCATTGTGATAGCCTGGGCACAGGAGGGAACTTTAACTCAAAATTCAAAGCAAGCCTTTAATCCCAGCACCCGGGAGGAGGAGGCTGGCAGTTCTCTGTAAAGCCAGCAGCTCCAGGCAGCAGGCAGCTGAAACAAACAGCAAATGCCTAAGCTCCGAGGGAAGGGGACTCCACGAGGATGGGTTGAGGATCGCCCACCCAGGCTGTGGGTTGACCCTAAGCTTTGTCCCCTTGTCATTTTTTTCTGTGAGCCTGATGTGACTTCCTGGGTGGAAAGTGTCCTTGCGTGCTGTCTGCAGCTCCCGGTCGCCAGCCTAAAGGAGAGATTTCAGATAACAGAGGAAGGCCAGAAGCATTCAAGGGATGGGTCTTCGGGGGGCGATCGAATCACCAGGCTTCAGGCTAGCAGTGGGTCCGAACACTGCCAAGGCTTGGGAAACTGAGCTGCCCAGCGCCGTCATCCATAGCAGGTGAGTCTGCGCCTGCACCATAGACCCCAGCAGCTGCTGAAGCAAAGGTGCTCACTGGTGTGCCTACTCTGTCAAAGAGGATCAGCTTCCCAGCAGCAAAATCACTTCTTAGTCTAAAGGTCATGGAAACCTCAATAGCAAGGACAAGGATGCTCAATAGATGAGCTCAAGGATGCTGAGGTGGTTTGACGTTCGTCATTAGGGACGGGCTTTCGAGAGTTCATTTGCCTAGTCCCACTTCCAAATCTCTTGCTGTCTCTTCCTCCTCCTCCTACCTCCCCTGCTTTGTATTTGTTGTCGAATGTGTTGAACTCAGCTTCTGGCTCAGGCTGCTTGATGTCATGCCTCCCTTGCCATTCTAGACTCTTCCTCTGAAATAATAAGCCCAAATAAACTCTTCC